TTCTCATTTTTTTCATTTGAAAGTCTCAAGTTCATCCTGGGGGATGAAAAAAATGAAATTTTTAAACTTATATATAATATATATATATATATATATAATATATATAATATATATATAAAATTTTTTTTTTTTTTATAAATATATATATATATATTGAGAAGAATTCTCAATAGCAGATGATTGATCGTATGCAAAATAATATCGATAAAAAAATTTTTAATTTAGTAAAAATGAAGTTGTTTTAATGCAGCTTACAGAATTTAATATTTAATTACGTTTTATGATGGAATTATCTATATATCAATATATAATATATTGATTTTTTTTTTTCATATTTTTTTTATCACAATACGAGTACATATTTACATACTACCATATGTTGAAGAGTGAAATGTCATTTCGTAATCGATGACAATTAAGATGAATATGAATATGTAACACGGAGCGGACGTTAGAAAAGGAAATACCATTAAGCATAATTCCAGATGACAGACATTTTTGTCTCTTACATCAACTGGTAAATTTCTCAGAATCATACAAAGACCTTCCATTCTTGACTCAAGAGAAAATGTTGAACTATACATAAATACATAAATAAATAAATAAAAAAAGCATACATCTTAATAGAAATTAACAGTTTCAGTAGAAATTCCACGGTTATTTTGAAAACTGTAAAATAATTGGAAATTTATAAAGAACTATGAAATCATAGGTAGTAGTACTAAAGACGCATTCGCGAGGGGAGAACAACTTTGAAAACTATATTATTTATTATACATATGTCCACTATACAATATTGAGTGACTATTATTTTTAATAGTTGCGTATAATAAAACAAAGACAACTGAATACTTCCAACAGCAACAAAAACAAAAAATAAGTAGCACATGTAACTAAAAAAAAAGAAAATAATGATATAATCAAGATGTTCACTTTCGACAAACTGCCATCAATACAAGAAAGAACAATAACAGCGAACTTGAGAAGTCTAATTTCCTGATAAATTTTTTTAAGAAAAAATGGGTATGGCTACAAGGAAGTATAGGCTATAAATTCAGAATTGTATCTATTTTATAATATCAGGAAATAAAGTGCGTCAAGAGGGGGTAATACAGGATGCGATGGATTAAATTGTCATCTAAATTACGCAAAAATCAAAATAACGCTGATTAACATTTTAACAGATATATATACCAAAATTACACAAAAATATATTCAAATACTAAAGAGTAAATTTATTCATTATAATCGCCATTGGCTTCAACCACGGCCATCAGATAACTTCGGAATCTACTGCAGCTCTTGTGGATGGTCTCTTTGTTTAAGTTGGTGAATGCTGCCATAATCCTTGTCTTCAGTTCATCTTTGGTGTTACAAGGAGTTTTGTTGGTCTCTTGCTTAACTGCGCCCCGTACATAACAATCAAGGGGGTTGCAGCCTGTGGAGTTAGGTGGCCAGATGTAAGGGGGTGATGCGTTCGCAGAAATTGTCTGACAGCCATGACTAGGCTCTCCTGCTTGCGTTGTATAGTGCAGAGTCCTGTTGCCAGACATGAGGTTTTCCACCAGCCACCCTCTTGATCCAGGGTAGAAGTACCTCTTCAAGACACTTGATGCAGGTCTCAGTGTTGAGTCTGAAGCCCTGTGGGAAGATGAATGGAGGCGTAACTTCGCCATCACTAGTGATCAAACACCATGATGTTGCCTGGATATAATCCAACTCTTTCCGAATCATCTGCGCTGTCCTCAGATTGACACCCAAACACTCTGAAATGTTTGTATTGGAGCTTCTGGTGCGAATGCCAAGCAGTACGGCATGCCATTTGCAAATTTATGGAGGAGTGAATTGGGTCATGCTGCTCTTTTTCTCACAGACGGTGCCCAACTGACCCTACTATACTGTGCAGTCGGCAAAATCAAAGATATACAACGCGCATGCGCGAAATTAAAAATATAAAATAACGACAATTTACCCATCGTACCTTGAATAATATATATGTTTACAAGGAAGTGTAGACTATAAATTCAGAATTGTATCTATTTTATAATATCAGGATATAAGGTAATAATAATAATAATAATATATATATATATATATATATATATATATATATATTACTTCAGATGTTGCTAGAGTGGACACTCATTTTCGAAATAGACGCCACATTTTGTTTGTTTGTTTGTTTTAAACAGTGTGTATTATGTCTATCGTTCTTCGCATTCGAAAAATCTTAATAAAAAATATACTTTCCGTCACGGATACAACCTGCGTCTTCCTTTGTAAGAGAAACCACTGTTTAATTCGATGTGCTTTACCGCTCGGACACGAAGAGAAAGCAGTCTGTTTCATTCAGATTATTCAAAACGTTGGAAGTAATACAAATGTCGGATTAAAAATAAATACATTAATTCTTAAGAAATTGCTTTGTTTACGTTTCCGGATACGAAACTGAGCAGATATAGGCTTTTCGAGAACAATAATCTGAATGAGAAAGTGTGCAATCCTTAAAAAGGGAAAATAGCGCTTTGCTGTGATGCTTTTTCTGACCGACCTGTAAATCACGTCGAAACAGATGGTGGCTTTTTTTTTCTACAAAAGGAGACGCAGGTACGATCTCTGTGGAGAACAAATTTTTATTACGATTTCTCAAATGCCCAAGCTGATAGAATTAATACACACTGTTTAAAATAAAAAAGGGGCGTCTATTTCAAATACGAGTGCCCACTGTAATAACGTTTAAAATGGGAAAAATGTCGGATTAAATATAAATCCATTAATTCTTTATATATTTATTTATTTTCAACTGAAAGTGAGGCTAAATGTTAGGCCAATGAATGCTACCGAATGTTTCTTCTATGGAAACGGTTAATTTCACCATTTACCGGAAGGCTAAAATTGTCCACGAGAAAATACTGGTACCCGGAGAAATAATCCAACTTCCTCGAAACTTTCTCTTGTGACTAGTTTATTGACATTTACACAGATGACTAGTGAAAACAGAATTCTCTGTAAAATAAAAGGTAACCTGGCATAATCGATGCAGAGATTGAGCCGCAGAATCGGAGCAGAGACTGAGCTTCAGAATCCAAACCTTTGATCCTGATTGTACATTATTAATCGGTTAAGTTTCTATGCAAGTATCATGTTTATTAGTAAACTCCATTCTTGTTCCATTATAGAATTTTTGTTGAAGGAATTTATTTTATCAGAGTACGACTGTTGCACTGCGCTTTAAAGTTAATTTACAAAGTAGCATTCCAGATAAGGTAAACAAATTAGAAAACACGCTCAGGTGCATACTTAGATAGGAAACTATTTCTCTGGGCAATTTCTCCAGCACTTCTTCATTGAATATGAGTCGATGGGTTTTCTGGATTTAATATTATTCGTGTGGGACGTGCGGGTAGCGTAACGGTTATCGAGGAGGCGAGTTCAAATTCCGGATTTGTCTGTTGCTTTCAATTTCGCATAAATGTCTTTGAGAAAGACATAAAACTAATTTTTCTCATCTCAACCATTGGATAAATAGTGGGGTGGACTAGAATTTCTAGCTTTGGGCAGCAACCAAGAAAGAAAACTCTGAATTCCAAACAGTGGAAGAAGCAAAGAGAAATCACTATACGATCTTTCCCAAAGAAGGAACGTTAATAGAAAACCATGATCGCTTACGCTCAGAAGGCACATGGCATTTAATAGTTTTTATACTATTGTTCTCCCAAGAGCCACTCAATGTAGAGGATTACTGAATGGGTTTGTTGTAAGGGCTTAAGAGCAGGAAATAAGAATTGCATATTATAAGGATATGTAGGAGAGATAATCGTTGCCCCTAGACTTGAAGAGGTTAATTAAGATCGTAGTGATCGGGGAAGCATCAGTCACAGTTCTGGAGAATATGCTGTCTGGGTGGAACTTTCTCCTTACCAATTGAATATGAAAGGAAAGTGGATGTGTCAACTGTAGAAATATCACGTGGTAGAGATAAACACTTAGTTGTGGAGCAAGCTAAGTGAACAATAATCCAACCTTTAGAAAGAGAGCTATTTATGTTGCCATAGAGCATCTCATTGTGCTAAAGTGGGATAGTCCATTGCTTGGGCTGTGATTGGCTGCTGGTACCTGAGTGGAGGTATTTCTATATAAATACCAGCTTGATTCAGCTGTTAGTTTGCAGGGTTTGTATTAAGTTACAACCTGCTTTATTTTTGTCTGCCAGCTGGACGCTAGCTGGGACCTTTACACCGGTAAGTGCTGTTTATTATTGTTATTCTACATCAACCATATGTACGTGGACGATTCATTCTCATTTCTTTCGTATTCCATTGGTAAGGAGGAAGTTCTACTCGGACAACTTCTTATTTGGGATTCGTAATCATCAAGTGCTGCATTGGGAAACATCTCAAGAACTATAGAATTTTGACTAAAGTTTGATATGAAACCTCTGTGACATCAGAATCTGGAAAACATGGAGCCGGAAGGGAGCTCCACAAGCGAGAAGTGCGAGAAAAGAAACTGTTAGCATAGAATTTACATGCCCGTTAGGATAAAAACAACTTTGTTGTGAGATATCACCAGCACTGATTCGCACGAGATCTTTTCTAAATAAAGTCACTGATTAGGACTGACGGAAGCTCGCAGTCATATCACGTCGAAACACGGATCAACTCAACTATAAATTGATGAGACCTCGTCAAATTCAAAAAGTCTAGGCAACCAGAGCGAAGAGCTCATCAGAACAATTACCATGAAAGTATTTATTGTAAAGGCACAGGGAGGCAACCTTACGACGGTGGGAAAGTGAATGAAGCCGAGACGTCGCAGTAAGAGAGAAAAAAAAAAGTTTCAGTGCGTTTTAATCCTCACAAACGAAATTGACAATAAAGATTTTTACCTGAGCCAGCTGAATCGTTAGAATAAAAACAACTTTGTTGTGAAATATCACCAGCACTGATTCGCACGAGAGCTTTTCTAAATAAAGTCACTGATTAGGACTGACAGAAGCTCGCAGCCATATCACGTTGAAACATGGATTCTCGTCCGATCAGAGAAGTTAAGCAAAGTTGACCTTGGTCAGTATTCTGATGGGTGACTGCTGGGGAATACCAGATGCTGTAAACTACGCGACAAGTCTAGCAAGCAGATTGGCAGATGCAGACTGCTGAGATATTGATCTTTCTATAATTTATTTTATGAGTCGGACACTCCTAGAAGAAGTGAATGACATTTTGAATTATGGCAAAAAAGAATGGGATTCGTATATTTATACCTCGGTGTCACTGAGTTGATGTGCTGCTCTCGTACTCAATACTAATCAACTAAATAACCGTTCAGTACTAATGTAATGTGAATATAATTACTAAGGTGGCACAAGGAACAAACTCATTACAACAGTAATGTCCCGTGAGCTACACATACCAAAGATTGCTCTATAGCGAAACATTCATTTTAGTCTGTTGCAACCATAGTGTCATCTTTTCACTCGCAACACTTTACGTGTTCTCTTTTTCATATCTGAACTGCATTTATTTTGTTCGTTCTGACAGTATTCAAGCCATAAAAAAATTTATTTCAGAGCCTTGAACGAAACCACGTTGTTCTTCTATTTCTAGTCATATTCTGCTAAATCCTAATCATAAGTTTTAATATGTAGCTTCATTAAGCTGATTGTTCGATGCAGTTCGCATATGATATGGTTTCTGAGGCAAACTTGTGAAAACTGACCTGCTTAAGAATTCCGGTATTTCACTGTTTTCATATCTTTCGATATCACTTCGGTAACCTTATCAATCCTGAAATCATTTAACACATATTTTCATGGTTTCAGTAAACCGACGCATTTTTCCATATATCTTCGCTATCATTATAAACAATAATTTTGAAAATGTGAAAATTCCACTAAAATATATGAAATCGAGCGCATACGAACTTTAAGCAAAACTGTCACATTATATTAAAAAAATGGTGCCAGTATAAACTGATGCCAAGATGATGTTAGTTAACACCCTCAACATCTCCATGAAAATCTTATCTGGTTTTGCTGTTTTGTTTCGCCTAATATTGGTTGTCTTTAACTCAGATTTTAATCTCACAGGTTTTTCCATATATTTTTTTTCTAAGATTCTCTTTTCTGTTTTCATATATGTGGTTTCTTCTGTAATCATTCTACCATTGAAATATCTTTTTTCTTTTATCTTTTCTTTTATTATCATTTTCTTTTATCTTTTCTCATTTTCGAAGAGATTGCTTTCTTTCCAAATATTTCTTTCATCTTTTTTTCTGCGTGCCCGTCGCATTTGTCTTCTTGGAATCTCTACATATTTCTCATTCAACCATTTCTTCATTTGCATGCTTACACTTATCTCTGACGGTTTCGTTTAGCTTGGTATACTCTGCACGATTTGTCCTCTTCTGTCTCTCTTTCATTAAGTCAAATGTGCACTTATCATCAACTTTTTCTCTTTTCTTTTTCTTCAATGTGACTTCTCACTGCTTTTATCGCTAGTGCGTCTAAGGTATTCTATTCTAAATTCTGACTTGTTCCGAAGCGCCATACTTGTTCTTAACTGCAACTGTTTTTAAATGAAGTTACTGTGAGGTTTTTCTGCAGTTTAGGCACTGCTTTGGATTTTCTTAATTTAAAAGATCTTAGTTTGAATATAATTAGTGGTGATCACTCTCGCAGTGAGCGTTTTGGCATGTTTCTGATCGAAAAACTGCGTTTGTAAATCCTTTGTCGATTATGAAGCAGTTTCTCTGATCCTTGGTGTTTCCTCCTTGGCTTTTCCGAGTTCATAAGAGTAAGACTATCATTATTCTTATCTTTACCTTTAAGTCTCTCATGACGATTATGATGGGCCGTAAAATTTCTCTTCTTTTTTTTCTTCGGTACTTTCTAACATATGTGTATGTTCCACTACGATTGCCATATTGAATAAGGATTTACTAAGCGTAGCTTAGATGCAGCACAAGGCCGAAAGTATAGACCAACCAATGAGGATCGAACTCACTACTCAGTCGTAAATGATCTAGCGAGACGAGCTTGCTAACCATTACACCACATCGAAGTGCCGAAATAGGTCCCTTTCAGTTTCACCAGAAGGATTTTGTCTCATATTTGCAAATCTTTGGGAATGCGTTTTCTTTTATTGTCGTTCAATATTATTTGGTCTCTGCTTTCCTTCTTATTCCCTCCTAAGACTGTAATTCAATGATCGCCGCTTACAAAATTCTCATTATCTTGGAATCATGTTTCACGTGTTCCAAGAATGTTAATCATCAGTCGTTCTGTCATATTTTATAGCTTTCATCATTTATCAAGTTTTTCTAACATTTCATTATTAATTGTGATTCTGTCGTTGTTGTGGACAGTCACTTAATGGCCATTGAGTTTATTCGCCTTTGGGATATGTTTTTATTTTTAACCAACCTTCTCATTTCCAGTGAAGTAAGAAGCTGTAGTCGTTTTAATCACCAACTAATGCGAACAAAACTGACTATTGTTTTAATTTGGCGAGTTTTCAGCAACTGTTGATGACTCTACGACATCAACTGCAAGAGTGTTGTGGAGCAATTTCGCAGTGGAGGCTTGTATTTATACTAAATTGGTCTTAAATACGTTCGACGTACAAAACGTTAGAAACTTGATATAATAAGTATTACGCAGAGTAATCTTGTTGTGGTCGCCGACTACGTTCGTATTCGACTATCTGTCGTCCGACGTCGACTGACATCGACTGACCGTCTTACTACTCCTACTTATATTAGGCGGGAGAGTCTATTAACTATAGAATAGGTGTGTTTCACCATAACAAAGAGACATGCAAAATTGATGGCGTGAACACTACAGATTTCACCTTTAAACCATGGTGGTTACGTGCCATTTCCCGGTTAAATTCGGTATTGGCAGAAAGGTCCCAAATCTCTGGTGTTGTATGCATATATTTGCTTCGGATTAAAAAAAAATTAAATTTTTCTTAAATTGTCTTGATCATTGCGGACGCAATGAGTTCTCAGTTGCGCAGTAATTGAGAGATAAGTAAGAACCGTAAAAAGAGCGTTAACAAGATAAACTTCCGCGCCAACTAATGCGAATGTGTGCAAGCAAAGCCAGTAATGGCTGCCGTGCCGTAACGCGAATGAGTCCAAACTTTTATTGTCGATAACTCCAAAACAGTACATTTTATCAAAATTTCTTTGTTATTTTCGAATTAAGCATGTACATTTACACCGAAATATAAATATTTGGGAATTTTTTATTAGAAATTGAGCGCGGGGCTTAAAAAGCAAATTACCAAAAAAAAAAATAAATAAAATAAGCACTGAATCTGAAATAAATTTTCTCAGCAATTGCACGCATGCTCTGTCTCTCTTTCTCTTTCTCTCTCTCTCTCTCTCTCTCTCTCACTCTATATAACAAATTTTTATCCTCTACTGAAATATTTTTTTTTAGTTGGGCAAATATCGGAAAAATATTCTCTCCTCTTCCGACGGTCTCTCTAACTGACGCTAGCGATATATGCTTTTTGTTACTTGAGTAGGATTACTCTCACCAAGCAGAACGATTTCCCATAAACCTTTTCTGCTTCGCCCAATAAAGAAATATGTGCTGAGGAAATGTTAGGTTGTTCTAAGTTAAACAATTATAACTGAGAACGCACTGTGGATAGCGGCTCGGACTGAGGAATCGAAGAGCAGAGTTCGAATTCCGTTCGAATCCATTACATACACTTACGTGCTAATACCCTTTGGAAAGGTATGAATCCTCTTCTTTTCCCCCCAGTTATGGAAAAATAACAGGACAGACCGGGTTCTATAGCCTTGGATAGCAACTGGTCTATCGCACAACGAAATGGCAACCTACTGCGGGAAAAAATCTGTCAGTCATATATCGAAAGATATATGATCGCCTAAAAAAATAACGTATGAAAAACATAACTAACTTCCAAGTAGTAGACAAATTAAGTAGATATTTACTTTTTCCCTTTAAGTATCAAATGTAATTATATTATTATTGAAAGTATTGAAATTATAAATAAATACCTTGTTAAATGGAAACCATTAGTTAAAATTTGTTTTCATTTTCAAACAATTAAATTTGGGTCCATGTTTCTTTTTCATCTTTTTAATCAATTTTTTTTGACATTCTGTAATTTCATAATGAAAAATTTTTTTTTAAATTTTATTATGAAAATTGTTTAAAAATGCTTTAAAAGCTTTTTGTGAATTTCATATGATCGATTGCGTTGATATTGTGAACGCTAAGTGAACATAGAATTTGCCAGTTTTATTTAATAGGTCATTAATTCGCGTGTCAAGCACCTATTTTGAAGTATGTAATATTCCTGTGTTTTTTTTCCACTTTCTCTATTTTCTTCCGACATGCTAAAATGACAACGCCATCCGCATTTGATATTTTATATTTTTTAAAATAATTCAACACCTTAATTTTTTTACTTTTACAAATTTGTCAGGCAAATAAAAGGGAAACATAGCGAAACAACACATAACTGTTTTTTATTTATAAAAATCATCTTCATTTTAAAATATGATATAAAAAAATCAATTATATATAATATATTAAGAGTTTCCATAGGAATTATTCATTTTAAAAGTTATTTTGAATTATGTTAAAAGTTTTATTTAGATATATTTTTTATTGGATAAAATAACTCTGTTGTATTTAGGATGAGTTAAATAATGTTCAGTAATATTAATTCAAATAACTGTGTGTGTGTGTGTTTTTTGTGTGAAAGTAAAGTCCCATCAACAGACGTAAATTTGTAACTGAATTTACATAGTCGATGAAGTGAGAAAAAATTTCAAAAGAAGAAAAAAATTTTAAATGTCGCAAAGGTATTTATAATTTTGTAAATGGTTTAGTAGGCATGAAAACATATAAACAATTTTTTTTTTTTTCAGGTCAGAAATTAAAGCACTTACAATAAAACATTGTTGAAAAAATCGATATTAGTATTAATTGAATAAATTTTATTAGAAAGAAATATTTTTTTTTCTTTTCCAATTAAATACAAAATTTTTTCAAGTTATTTTCAAATTATTTTAAATGATGTATATTAAAATTCTAGATTTTTCCTTTTTACTGAAAAAAGACAAGT